GCAGGAATTGGCGTGTAGCAAATGGTGGGATACAGGGAAAATGAAGCTGGGAGGAGAGTGAGGTCAGAGCTTGAAGGACATTCATTGCCTGCCTAAAGACTGGGTTGTCTGAAAAGTCATCATGTATTTTTCTATTTTTCTATGTCAAACTATGTCATGACTGTTCAGATAACCCAATAGTTGGTTTTATCCCACTGGCATTGGGGCATCCTACAGAGTGGCCGAAGTGGTCATAAGGGGGCTCTAGCAGGGAAGGCAGAAAGTGGAGACAGTAAGGCACGTTCCTTCTTCTACGTTACTCAGGTCGATTTTTGATGAAAGCACAAAGTTATGGATATATGTAGAGTCAGTTACGCTTTCTCTCTTATTATTTCAATTGCTGCTCTAAAAATGAGTCATCATTTTTTTTGTTTCCTTTAAAGAAAGCAACACCAATCCTTGTCAGACTTACCCAGCCCCTGGTCTCTTCTAATCTGATTTCTCTCTCAGTTTAACAGAGTTGAAGTCTTTCTAATAGAACCCATTATTTCTTTTGTCAGGTTCATGAAACCAAAGCATTCCTTTGCCCTATACTTACCTCTACCTACTAGGCACAGACATGGATCCAAGTGGACAAAACTTCTTCCACTGCTTATTTTCTAGAATTTTCTAGGTATCATGTTGTTCCCTACCTAACTCACAGATATGCATTAAGAATTTCAGAAAAATGTTTTCCTGTGCCAAACATTAATATATGTGTTGAACTGCCTGCCATAGGGATATAAATGGAGTTATTGACATTTGTCATATTATAAAGATAGTATTTTATACCAGGGAGAAAATATGTTCAATAAATGATTAGTTATTTGTATTTTCTAGGTGGGAGTGGATCCTCTTTCATTTCTCATATGCATATACATTCTGGAATGTAAATAGATTTGCATTTGAAAAAAATATAAAAACTGGAATAATATTATAATATGGGTACAGAACTTTGTAATACTGGGCTGGAGAGGTCTTTCAAACTGTGTCTGAAAACCAATAAGTCAGAGGGAAAAATGCTAATTTCAACTATGGAAAAAATTAGAATTCTTCTACTCAAACCATAACACCATATGCATGTTTGATAGTCCAGACAGACACATACAGATACACACACACTTGTAGAAAAATATTTATAGCATTTATGATAAGAAGTTCATAACTGTTAAGAAAGATATTCAACAAAATATTAGTATTTGTTATTTCTGAAATTCGTTATGTGTTAATCCCACATCTTGATGTTCTATTCCCAAAACTGTGGATTTATGACAGTGGCGTTATTATTCAGTGGGCTGTGTTGACCCCTAATTCCGAGTTCTTGAAGCTCTAAGGATTCTGAAGAAATGGGTCACAATGGACAGTCATGATTTCTGACTCCAGGAGACTTGGAACATCCACTTAAAATCTCTGAATTTGTTTATCTGCAGAATGTGGGTAATAATACTTACCTACATCACTAGGCTGTTAGGAAAATTAACACACATTACCAAACCTCTGAGTTCCATGGATAAACATTGTTGTATGGTGAGCACAGAGAGTTGTTATGTCTTTATAACTTTCTGCATAAACATATGCATGGCATTGACATCAGAAACACAAATTCTGAGATCAGCCTTGCCAGATGTACTTTAATTAGCTCTTTTATGGAAATAGTTGTGCTAAGTTCAAATTTATGTCGATTACTGGCTAATTTTTCATTGTAAGGATATCTAAAAGCAAAAAAGACAGATTATCATTATGATTTTATTATAGCCAATATATTCTTCCTTTCTCTTTGACATTTAACTATCAAAATATCTGCATAACTCCTGTTTCCATCGTACAATACAGAGATGAACAAATTGAGGGACAAATATCCAAGTAAAACAAGAGAAATGTTACTAATCCCCATAGTCACTTCCCTGAATTCTAGAGCCTCTTATCTTTGTAATGGTCTTTAGAAATCATTTAGTTCTGCCCCTCATTTCACAAATGAGGAATCTGAAACCAGAGTGGTTAAGTAACTTGCCCCAAAGGCACAGAGCTAGCTAAAGGCAGAGGTTGGAACAGAGCCCGTATCTCCTAACTCCTGTTCAGTGTTCTTTCCCCCTCCAAATTCTAAGTCCTCAGGTAGCTATCATGGACATTTTGTCTTTGAGTTTGTCCAGAATGTTGGTAGACACTTTAGATACAGACCATAGTCATATTTGATTCTGCTGATGGTTGAGGGTATACATGAAAGAATTTGACTTTTTAATCTCTCACATCTTGTTTGGGAATTCTTTGTGAAAAGACAAAGCTTGCTCATATTTTGATTATATCACGTCAACACTTAAGACTGTGAGTCCTAAATTTTGGAATTTGAATGGTTATGTTATTTCTTTAGTGTAACCAATAATTCAGTGATAACTACTTGGACAGTTATGCAAAAATCTACTCTAGAGCAGTGATTTCTAAGTGTGACTCATTCAGAACTACCTAGCAGTCTGTATCCAATTCAGTGGCTGGGACTACAGCCCTGAAGAGCCCGACTGAGTAAATCTGGGGCCAGGTCCAGAAACCTGTTTGAAAAGAAGCACCCTCATGATTCTCAGGGTCCTCGGAATGTTTGAACCACTAAACTAGGGCACAGCGTTTTGGAAGTAACCATTTGCTTTCCAGTACGGATTCCTTAAGCTGTCAGTGTGTGTACTCTAAATACAGGGGCAAATAATTACGCTGCATTTTTAGTACATTTTTTTGGCCTTGTAGCCAGCGCTCATTTGGTGGATTGCAGGTAGTAAGAAAGGTCATTCTTCCCACTATTCGAGTGAAGAAATGAATCCTTTTTGATATAAATTTATAGTATTATAGAATATTGTCATATTCTTGCATATTTGAGATTAAATTATATTTGAGAATTTTTTTTTAAAGGAATCATTATTACTGTCAATGCAGGGGGCTTAAAGTAGATATTGCTTCTAGGGCCACATCACCTTTTATGTGCATGCGTTTTACAGATCCAGAAGTAGGAGTAAAGAGGAGACTAATTCAGGACAAGAGCAAACTTTATGAAATTTATATACTAATGTCTTCTGGCTTATAAATTTCTTCTCATCTTTTTATTTTCTAAGTTTTAAAAGAAATCTAAACTATATTCACTGTAACTTTCAGGCAGAACAGAGGGAACTGGCTTCTTGAAGAAGGAAATGGAGATGATAGTTAGATATAAATCTGACTTAATTACAAATACTCAGCAGTTGAAACCACCAGGTTAAGGCAGTGGGCACCCACGTGGCCAACTGTGTTCTTGTACCAGACCCTGCAGCTTGAAACTCACACCAGGCATATGTGCGTGCATGACCAAAATTCTGAGAGGAGAAGGGATTGTGGTATGGCCATTCTCCCCCATGCCCCAGAGGTAATTTCTCACTTTCTATCTCTTTCTGTCTTGTGGCAAGTGTAGACACCCGATAGCAAAAATCTCTCTTTCTAGAAAAAAAAAATAATTAGAAAAAATACTGGGCAATAAAGAGAAAATCTCAATAAGTCACAGAGTAGCCATCAGCGTGCATTTCTTCTTTACTAAATCGTGGTAACCAAGGTCAGAATCTACATGAATATTCTTAAGAGTTTATGTAAATATATTTTTAAAGCAAAGCTAATTGGCCTTCCATGCTTTAAGATTTATTTTATTAATCATTTAAGTGGAAGCATTGTGTAAAATAACCATTTTTATTCCCATTTACAGAAAAAGACATTATCTTTGAGTATTTATAAAAACTGGGAACAATAGAGAAAAATACTACTCAAATACATAAGCTTTCAAAAATTGGGCACGTGCCCCAGGATTTCTATTTCCTGTACATAGTATAGATGTTTGTTTGTTTTTACAAGTTAACGGGACCAATGGTTTAAATTGTGATTGAAACATGTTCTGAAAAACCAAGTAGTTTATGTTGGCATTCCTTGGTACAAAACCACTGGCATTTCTCTAGGAAGAATAAGTTGAAAACTTTTCAGCAATCAGGCAGTGGATTGGATTTTCCTTTTTATATTGAAATGTAACAATGGGTTGGGGTATTTTCCCATAATTTCTAACTTTGTAGAATCATTCTGGAAACTCCAAATCTAGATTAAAAAAAAAAAAGGCTTCTGAAACTTTCC